ACCCAGAGGATAAAATGGCAGTTACCGGGTAATCCGACGAATTTACAGCCTCGGGTAATTCTAGCGACCTCGTCTCTCTGTAGGAATTCAGTTTCGAATAAATATATATTAAGGATAGAAGTAAAATAATGGTACAATCCAATATATATATATATATATATATATATATATATATATATATATATATATATATATATATATAAACAAAAAGCTGTACTGATGAAATTAGTCTTTTTTACCTAAAACCATCGTACTATGACAGCAACGCACAGCCCAACGTCAGAGCGAACAGGTGTAAGTTGTATCGGTTTTTGCCTGGGTTGTTGAGCAGAATGAGTAAGGAAGGAAAGAGAGAGAGAGAGAGATAGAGAGAGAGAGAGAGAGAGAGAGAGAGAGAGAGAGAGAGAGAGAAGAGAGAGAAGAGAGAGAGAGAGAAGAGAGAGAGAGAAAGAAGCGCCTATAACCGGGGAGCCAAATATCAACCAATAATCGTGTAAAGAAAATTAAGCGAATTTGGAAATTATTTTTACAAACTCAAAGTACCTCATGAATGAGCAGTTCTCAAACTATCGTTGAGTAATAATCAATAATGATAGACTAGTTATGACACTGTACCGGAATTTGATGGAAATTATCGCGCAATTTTGAATGGTAAAGCTGCACTTTAATGCTACGAAATACATTTACATTACGTGGAAGAAATGCGAGTCCTCGACTGAACAGTCCTTCCTTACCTTGTTTGAAAAACAAAAACAAAATGCTATTTTTATACATTATCCTGGAGAATATTGTACCTAATACCGCATTTACTTCATTGACTTTTAAAGCAGGTTTGAAAGCCGAAGCTAACGGGGTTTCAGAAGGATTCGGCGGCAGCACAGACGTGTCCACCGTTCGAGTCCCTTGTCGGGTGTAGAATGTCCCGGAAGGTTCTTTGGGCGGGTCTGGCGCGTGTTTCCGAAAACTGGTTCTCAAAATGGAGTGAGAAGGCGGGCAAGGGTCGTCTACTTGGGGCTGTAACAGTCTTACACGTTACAGACTCTGAGCAAATATGTTTTATTTATTTTCACTGGCGTCTCTTGGAGTGAGTGGAGCATGAGGCCCCCTATTGCACGGCGAGGGACGAACGTGAATAAATATCCTCTGCATTTTCAAGCTGTCTCACTCAGTTAAATGTTATGGTAATGGTGAGAGATAATGAAGAAAGGGACAAATAAGATAGACATGAAGAAACAAATGAGAGTACAAAGAAGATACGAAACTAAATACTCATCGACATAATAGTTATCGAATTACCACTCCTATTTCAAACACCCGCATCCCTTTCTTTTCCTAGTGTGTCAAGAAAGTCAGTAAAAAGAATTCGTTCATTGGACCTTGGCTTTGTGTTGCACTTGTGTTTGACTTTTTAGTAATTCCCATGAAAGTTGGCAAACTCGCATCTCATGAAACTCATGTGTGTGTGTGTGCGTGCGTTCGCGGGAGGGAACTTGGTGGGAAGCCTCGTCTGAGCTGCAAGTCCAGTCGCCGCCGAGTCCTCGCAACGTGACCTACGTGCTCCTCGTGCTAACTCTACTGGTATCTACACTTGGTATTTCAGCTCGCTTTTGTTGGGGGGGGGGGGATTCTGCTGAACAAACGAGGATTGGTTATTTGGAAAAGGGAGATTGTCAGGGTTTAGTTACATGTTAAATTTAGCAATGAGTTATTTTCTTATGATAAGACAAGAGAGAGAGAAAAAAAAACATGGATAATGCAAAGGGAGACATGCACTGTATTATCGCATCGGGTTGTGACAGCAGCCCTGCTATCACAAATAAAGAATGTTTAACGTAATCACCAAGCCGAATATATATGGCATTCGACTTCAAAAAACACCTCACATGATATCTGCAGAGTGACTCGGTGTTAGCGAGGAACCTGCAGACGGTGCATTGTGGCCGAGAGACCGACGGCCTGCCATAGCGACCAAGACGGTGCTGACAAGACCGGGTTAATGTCTTGTCTCTGCCTCTTGGGGTCAGGGGGGTCGAGGGCGCGTATCTCTGTAGAGCAGATTGTGTGAATCATTGTGCTCGATATTTTACGTTGAGGAGGGTTGTCGGGTTGTTGCTAGGCGAGCTGGTCACGCGCCTGTGATGTGGCATTTATGGGACCTCCTTAAGTATTCCTTACGCACGCGCGCGCGCGCACACACACACACACACACACACACACACACACACACACACACACACACACACACACACACACACACACACACATACACCACACACACACAAAATGTTTGCTTACGTGCATCGAATGTGTGTGTCTGTGTGTGTGTGTGTGGGGGGGGGGGGTGGACTCCGCGTTCTAGGCATTTGCACATAAATAATCGCCGATATCTTACCAAGGTCATTGCTCATCGTGTATTTTTTATCACGCGTGATGGACCTGTCAGCTGTCAAAAAGCTGCGAAGGAAATACATTATTTGGAAGCACACACACGCACACCCACCCGAAATATAACACACATACACGTGTGTGTGTGTGTGTGTGTGTGTGTAAATGAGAGTAAGAATAAAAGTAAAAGTGAGAGCGAGAGGGAAAGTATGAGTAAGAATAGGAATAAAAGAGAGTAAGAGTGAAAGTTAAAGAGAAAAGAGAATGAAAGTAAATGAAACTAAGTTAAAGAGTGTAGGAGTAAAAGTGTAAGTAAAAAACAAGTAAAAGTGGAATAGATTTAGGATAAAATAGAGTAAAAGAGTAACACTAAAAGAGAGTAAAAGTAAACGAGAATAAGCGTAAAAGAGAGTGAACGAGTAAGAATAAGAGTAAAAGAAAATAAGAAAAAGACAGTCAAAGTAAGAGAGTAAAAACGTAAACATAGAAGACGGTAAGAGAGTAAAAGAGAGTAAGTGTAACAGACTAAAAATTAAAAATTAATAAAATAGAGTAAAAAGTAAGAGTAAAATAAAATAAAAGTAAATATAAAAGATAAATTTAAGAAAGTAAGAGTAAGAAAGTAACCATAAGGAAGAGTGTAAGTAAGAATGTAAGGCAGAGACAGACAGACACACACACACACTGACAGAAACAGACTTAGAAAAAGAAGATAAAAGGGGAGAGAGAGAGAGAGAGAGAGAGAGAGAGAGAGAGAGAGAGAGAGAGAGAGAGAGAGAAGAGAGAAGAGAGAGAGAGAGAGAGAGAGAGAAAAACACAGAGGAGAAAAAAACAGACAAGAGAGAGAGATAAAACACACAACACACACAGAGATAAACACACACATAGAGAGAGAGATATAACCACACACAGAGAGCGAGAGAGAAAGAGATAAACACACACACATAGAGAGAGAAAAAGAGAGAAAAATGACTGCCTGGAAACCGTCGACTCTCGCGTTGAGTAACCTCCCGGTTGAACGTCGAGCCAGAACGTTTCGCTACACAGGATGCCTTGATAATTATTATTTTTTTCTTTTTTTTTTACCACTAACGTCCCGGGCTCTCCCTTTTGCAGTCCGCCTCTCCCTCTCTCTCTTTCTCCTTTTCTTTCTCTTCTTTCTGGCAGTCTGTCTCTCTGTCTGTCTGACTCTCTCTCTCTCTGTGTGCGGTTTCTTCTCTCTCTCTATCTCTCTCTCTCTCTCTCTCTATCTATCTATCATGGATGTAGTGTTTTATGCCTCTCTCGTCTCTCTCTCTCTCTCTCCATCATCTCTCTCTCGTTCTCATCTCTCTCTCCGCCCGTGTCTCTCTCTCTCTCCATCTCTCTTCTCTGGTGTGTGTGTTGTGTGTGTGTGTGTGTTGTATCTCTCTGTCGATTTCTTCTCTCTGTCTCTCCTCTCTCTCTCTACTCCCGTCTGTTTTTACTATAGTTGTCTTTTCCTCACTCCTGCTCTCTGTTTCTCTTCTCTCAATCACTCATCGACTCTAACTCTCCTTCGGACCTCCCTCCCCCCATCTCCCTCCCACCCCTCCCCAGTCCCTCCCTGCCCTCCCTCCTCTCTCTCTCTCTCTCTCTCTCTCTCTCATCTCTCTCTCTCTCTCTCCTCTCTCTCTCTCTAATCTCTCTCTCTCTCTCTCACTCCCACTCTCACTCTCACTCTCTCTGTCACACCACACTCTCCCTCCCTCCGTCCTCTCCTCCCTCCCTCTCTCTCTCTCTCTCTCTCTCTCTCTCTCTCTCTCTCTCTCTCTCTCTCTCTCTCCTCTCTCTCTCTCTCGTCTCTCTCTCTCTCCCTCCCTCCCTCTCCCTCTCCTTCCCTCTCCCTCTCCCTCTCCCTTCCTTCCTTCCTTCCCCTCCCTCCCTCCTCCCTCCCTCCCTCCCTCCCTCCTCCACTCTCTCCTCTCTCTCTCTCTTCTCTCTCTCCTCTCTCTCTCTCTCTCTCTCTCTCTCTCTCTCTCTCGCCCTCCTCTCTCTCTCATGAAGCGGATGGCTTGGAATTTTAATGCTAACTCTCGGACACAGCTCGTCTTGTCACTTCTGAGCATAGTTTTTTCCAATTAGCATGATCGTACTTCAATTGGATTGCTAAGACATGCGTTTCTCAAGGTCATGGTATAGTGAAGGGCAACGGAGCACAGACGCTTCCCTGTTGAACCGCAATGGGAAAGCACAAATACTATAATAAGTTTATTTTGTGGTTCATTGCTTGTTCACGTTGCTGAGGAGGGCTTGTCTTACTACAATGG